AAAAAAACTTGAATGATTCTTGAATTGTTATCAGAATCTCAGAGGCAAATAGAATAGACTATAATATTTAGCAAAAGAGGGCATGCATGGGTTTTCAAAAGTTTGAGATGCATGGCCTTCTCAGTGAACTATCAAAATGGCAATGATTTATGTACGGAGATATTTATCTCAGATTTATTTGTAACTGTGAAAATTTAGGAGAAAAATCAATTTCCACAAAAGGGAAGTAAATATTGAATGCCATAGTAAAATGCTTAAGTTGAAAATAAAGTGCAAAGTGGTAATGATTCAATATTTAAAGAAGGCACTATTATACATAGAAAAAAATTGGAATTAGCTTAGCTTTTTTCAAGAGCAATTTGGCAGTGTCTCCAAAGTTTAAATGTGCAGACCCAACATTAATATGATTGATATTCCAATAGATGAATATTTGTACATTTATATGATAGAATACTATTCAGATGTTTAAAATGAACAAATTGGATCTATATATCTGCAGAAGAGATAGATCTGTATATGTCAACAGAGATAGCACTCAAAACAATGTTGAATTTTAAAAAGCAAGTTGAAGAATATATATGTATAACAGTATTTATGTAAAAACTTTAAAATACATATAACAAAGCCAAATATTGTTTACCGGTATACATAGGGAATAAACATATAAAAACAGCCTGGAAGGATTGATTGCTGCTGTTCAGTTGCTGAGTTGTGTCCGACTCTGAGACGCCATGGACTTCAGCACACCAGGCTTCCCTGTCCATCACCACCTCCCAGAGCTTACTCAAACTCATGTCCATTGAGTCAGTGATGCCATCCAACCATCTCATCCTCTGTCGTCCCCTTCTCCTTCTGTCCTCAGTCTTTCCCAGCATCAGGGTCTTTTCCAGTAAGTCAGCTCTTTGCATCAGGTGGCCAAAGTATTGGAGCTTCAGCTTCAGCATCAGTCCTTCCAATGAATATTCAGGGTTGATTTCCTTTAGGATTGACTGGTTTGATCTCCTTGCAGTCCAGGGGACTCTCTACAGACCAGAGTAAGAGTGTTCATTTTCTTTAGGCCAGAAGGGGAGGGGAACAGGACTAAAATGAGAAACTGGATGGGAGTGAGGGATAGTATTGAACTTCATCTGTAATATTTTCTAAGTGTTTTTTCTTTTTTATTTAAGCAAAGTGACAAAATGCATTGTAAATTTGGAGTGGTAGCTCATTGTTTATTAGACTCTTTTTAATGTGTGCTTTTAAAACTTTTTAAAACAATGATTGAAAGTCATCCATGCTTGCAGTGGTTATTATTCAACGATGAGATTAGAGTTCAATTTTAATTTTAATTTTCATCACGAACATCTCTGAATTTTCCAAATTTATAAAATAAATGTTGAGGAAATCAGTCCCACTTAGAGAAGATAAACAAATGATAATAGTCGCTGGACCTCAGCTCTCTGAGGAGTTCCTAAGGCCCTTACAATTAAGCTGCCTCTAAAATGCTGAAGTATCAGCCAAAAAAAAGGATGACCCTCCCAGGAACAAAAGGAAGAAGTGGGCCAGCTGTGGAAATGTAAAACCGGGTTCTATCTTGGGAAGGGAAGCTGGTACAGAAGTCTGAGTCAGTGGGTCTCAAACTTGAGCATGCTGTTGAATCACCTGGAGGGCTTGTTTGTTTGTTTGTTTTAAAAGATTACCCTCCAGGGTTTCTGATTCAGTGATTTCAGGGGTCAGTTCTGTGATTCTGCATTTGTAACAGGATCCCAGCTGTTAACAGTAATGATGGTGGTCCCAGGACCATGCTTTCAAAACTGCAGGTCTAAAACCCAGCCATCAGATCTTTGTAGTTTTGATTACTGAAATATGAGGAAGATATTTGGCAGAAATCAGTCTGTCATTATCTGGCAGATCCACAAATTACTTAAGGGTGTGAGCCAGTCCATCTCAGGAAAGTTGGAGTCACACGCAAGAACAGGCAAACCAAAAAGAAATAGAAATTGGCATCAAATGATCAGAAAGCTTGAAAGTAAGGGAAATGAGAGCTAGTCCAATCTAAAGACCACAGGCCACGGAAGACTTTTCTTTAGGAAAGAGTAAGGTAATAAAATGAGCTTGAAAAAAAGACTGTAAAAATCGTATTTACTCATCAGTGTCTGTTGCTGTTTGATCAGGCTGGGAGTTCAGAATGACGCAGAGTTCTTTCCCATCTTTCACTAGCACCAGGAGCTCCTACTCGGCAGGAAACGTCCTGAGAGCAGGGACTTTTCTTCCCTTCCTTGCTTTCTCTATCCTTTCCTGACCCCCTCCCTCCCTCTTTCTTTTCTGTTCTTACCCACTCAGCAGCTTTTTTTTTTTTTCCTCAGCAGCTCTTTAGTGCCAGACATTGCCCTGGGCTTTGGATAAAGTGGTGTCTTACCACCTTTGTGGAACTTCCCAGGTGGCTCAATAGTGAAGAATCAGGAGCCTCAGGAGATGAGGGCTCAGTCCCTGGGTTGGGAAGATGCCCTGGAGGAGGAAACGGCAGCCCACTCTAGTATTCTTGCCTGGAGAATCCCATGGATGGAGGAGCCTGAGGCTGCAAAGAGTCAGACACGGCTAAGTGGCTAAGCACACACACCACCTTTAGACTCCAGCACATAGCATAGGACTCATACATAATAGCTGCTCACTAACTGTGGAATGAAACATGAATAAACACATAGATGATCAACAGGGATCATGGTTAAAGGTGCAATGAATGGGAGACAGAAATAAGGCGCTATGCCTGCAAGCAGGTCATTTCTATAAGAGGCATAGACCCAGTGGAGTGGGCCTAGCAATGTAATTAGCACCTGGAGTCACGACTGAGAATGCACTACTTGGCACTTTCCTTCATACTCCACGTTTTTCCCAATAAATTTTTGCTACTTTTCCCACTGCTTGCCAATGTTTCCCACTCCCATCCCTAAGGTTCCTGACTTTCAGCTAAATTATGCTTCATTGAAAGTGAAGTGGCTCAGTCGTGTCCGACTCTCTGCAACCCCATGGACTGTAGCCTCTGTCCATGGGATTTTCAAGGCAAGAGTACTGGAGTGGGTTGCCATTTCCTTCTCCAGGGGATCTTCCCAGCCCAGGGATCAAACCCAGGTCTCCCGCATTGTAGGCAGATGCTCTTACCATCTGAGCCACCAGGGAAGTCCAGTATGCTTCATTTCAACACTTTTAATCTGCCTCACAGCCAAGGCAGCAAATAAGGCATATGCCAGAATACATAATGCTTTTTACTATAAAGCATTCTCCTACTTTCCCAATGAAAAAATCTGAAGAAAGATTTGGAACTTGAGTAGTTTTATGTCTGTTAACACTGTTTAATTTATTTAATTTGTTGACTGAGTCATACATGCATATATAAAACTAAAATATTATTTTTTATTTAAAATTTAAGCAGTCTTAATACTGTGATATGAATCTTAAGTCATTTAACACAGTTTTTAAGAGCATATTACCTTTACTTTCAGTTAAGTTGTTTAAGATTCAGCATTTTTAACCATGGATGATGCTGTCACCAGAAATTTTTATCAACAAACTACAAGTCCCACTCATATAACACTAGAACAGTTTTTTTCATTCATCCTTTAGTGTACTTTCATGAGTTCCACAAGGTAATCACACACTGTGTATTAAATTGATTATAAAAAGTCTTGTTTGCCACAGCAATGCTAGCAACTGTGGTATCACATTCTTTGCCAGAATTAAGCACCAAATCTTTTTAAAAATTTATTTGCCATCTTTGTTTATTCACCATTTCCATTAAGATGACCTCTTGTAGCATTCTACCTTAGCACGGACTGCTGCTGTTTCAGGCCAATGTGTCTTCTCCCCAGACAGCACATTGTGACACAGAAAAGGAATGAAGAGAACACTCCATAATAAAAGGGAGTTTGTAAATCTTAAGTAAAGCGATTCCTGCTCTTACAGCCAAGAACAGTGGGGGAAAGTCTTCTCATACTTGGGAATGCACTGTGTGTTTATTTCCTTTTAATTTTCTCTTCAAAAAAAAAAAGAAACCCTCTTGTTTAGGTGAATATAATAATTAGAAAATAAATCATAGGGGTTTGTAGAATTAAAGAGTAATCAAAAGTGACTGTATTAACACATAGCTTTCTAGTTGTTAGGGCACGAGAGGTGATAGATATGTTTTCATTGTCAGAAGGAGGTTGTATATATGTGTAATGCCATGGTTATGAGTCTGTCTCTAGTAATTAGAAAGCTACATGTGTTGAAGAGCCAACAAACTGGTTGATCTGGAGTAAGTAGATCAAGCTGGAAGAAGAAAGATGACTTTGACATATGATTTTGACAGCAGAAGACATCAAAATGGCTTGCTGCACTTACCAGTTTATTCCATTTTTAAAAGTGTGCAGCGTCTCAGTTTTTCACTATTAAATATAGTGTTTACATATTTATGTGTGTTTCAGGCTACCTTATTGGAATTTTGAAGACATGAAAACATCAGATGAACCAACCTGCAACATCTTGGATTCAGAGTGGAAGATGAAGAGAAGCTTTAAACAATGTGGCCTATAAAGGCGGGTAGTACCTGGAAATATTAACTGACTCACACTGTAAAAATGAGACCAGTTTCTAAACAATAGAGGTTTCTTTTAGTCCACCATGAAGGTTCAAGACAAAATGTTGAACTAGAAACTTACACTCCTCCCCTCTCCCACTTCAGACAGGTACCAGCATTACTGAATATGATTTTCTTTAGTCAGAAGCACTTGTTTTTACCCATGTAGACCATCCTTAGGAATTAAATATTGGTTATTTAATGTAGATTATAATGGGAAACTGATTTTTTCTACAATGGCAGATTTCAAGGACTTGGTTCCAAACTGAGCCGAAGCTTCCCAATGCATTTTGTACAGTCTGGGGAAAACTGTGCTGCGTTGGCCATTTTTGAAGGCCACGATGCCCTGTAATACAAGGACATCATCTTATTGCTGATATCTTTGGGGAGTCCTAAGCAGACACAGAAAATGAATGGAGGCAAGGAGTGTGACGGAGGGGACAAGGATGGAGGTCTTCCAGCTATACAAGTTCCTGTGGGTTGGCAGCGTCGTGTGGATCAAAATGGAGTGCTTTACGTCAGGTGAGCCCTTCCTATTACCTGCATTATCTCCAAGTTTGCAGCCACCAAATAAAGAAGGTACAGCCTGTTCCTCTGAGAACGTAAAATATTGTGACTGGTAGCACCTCAAATCAATTAAAATAAATGATCTTCATGCTGGAAATATTAAGTATTTTTATTTAAATTATTTTGCAATATAAAACCTGCCTTAGGTTACAAGAGAGGATTTTTATGCATTATTTGTGTTTATATAAAGTGTTGCCCTGCTTATCTCTCTAACAAGGATAAAGAAAAAGATGAAGATTTCTAAAAGAAACCCATGAGCGTCATTACCACATTCGCAGGAGAATGTAAAATACTGAAAATAGACCAGATGTCTCCTGACAATATTATTGTCCTTCATAGTGCTTCTGCTGGCTACTCTGATGTAAGGTTGTGTTTTTCTCTATAGGCAGTTTCAATTACCAGTTTCTTAATGCCTGATATTAACTAAAAATAATTTACCTGTTTTTTCTGTGCAGTTTTTAATCTATTCCCTGCATATAATAATAAAAAGGAAAAAGTCATGATGGAGTCATCTCACAAGTAAAAATCATAGAGCTTACATGTAAATACCTGTTCTTTTAAATTTTGATGGCCTTTGTTATGTTGAACAAGTTGAATGAAATAACTGTTGGCAAGAACTTTTAGTCTTATTAAATAATCGGCACCTAAGTTCCTTACTTTGTAGTTTATTGGTAAATATGTTAGTAGGATACCATAAATCTTTCTCTGTGATGTAATTTTTAAAAAAGCTATGATGAAGAGAACTTTTTAAAAGATATCACATTTCATCATTAGATTAATTATGTTGCTTTCAGTTCATCAGTATTTTATTTGTATCTCAGCTTCAATGGAATTCTTGTTCGTGCAAAGCTGTATTTATATAAATAAGGAATTTCCCATGATACATACCCAAACAATTTCATACTATCACATCTCAGAAGTCAGTTCAGATCCTGTCCTGGATTTGTTTGTTTGGTAGAAGTTATTTCTTGAGGTAAACTTAATGACCATCTGAAATTCTTTTGAATGTCTTTTTAATTTCTGTAATATTTAGGAGGTGCTCTATATTAATTGAAGTGAAGGGATAAGAAATCAGGGAATGTGGAGCTCACCCCATTAAAGATTAGATGGATGAGGACACATGGGATAACTTTCCCAAAGTATTTCTATTGCTAATCCTGTTACCAAACTTCCAGAAATACTTTATCAGTGTAATGTAGCAAGATACTGGTGTTGTGTTCCTATTTACAGTTGTTCTAGTCTGTAAGGATCAAATATTACATATCTACAACTAAGAGCAGTTAACTCCAAAAATCTTGATAATTTCAGTTTGTTTTGTTTTTGTTTTGTTTCTTCTTTCTCCCTATGAAAGATAAATCAGCTTTTTAGGTTGCTGAGAGTTAAGGCAAATTAAGTCTGGAAATCTGTCAGTTATCTTGCTCGTGGCATCCCAAGTCTGACTAGACTTTACTGTTAGTGTGAGTTTGAATTCTCCCAACCCAAATCTGCACACTAGGGAGTATTTCGGAAATGAACTTTGCCAGATACGCTAAAACACCTTCAGATAAATTCAACCCAGCACAGGTTTGATTCATGTGTTATGTGTAAGTGGTTAAATTACCACCTGAACATATATAAGATGCTAGCCCTCCTTCTATAGCTTCCTTTGCAATGTGTAGTTTGCTTATAATTTTTAGGTTAGTTTCCAGCTGCTCCTGCCTCAGGGTGGCATTGAGGCTGCACATTAAATTTCCCACCTGCTTCCAATCTTCTAAGCTTTATCTATGCCATAAGACTTCTAACTATTTTTATGTTAATTATTACTCCCAAAAGTTAATTAAAGAGCTGCAACTGAAGGAAAGAACCCAACTGACTGATTGAGAGGAAGTGTTTCTAAAGTGTCTGGAGTACTCTAATATTATAGAATTCAGGAATTCTTGTATTCAAGTTTAATTTACAATTAAATCCTTTAGGATTCATTCATAGACTTTCTTTAACCATAACACATGAGACAGTTTCTTTTCACAATATTCTTGAATTCTTCATATGATAACTAGTGATTTTGTTTTATCAAAGCTACCAGACCTCCAAAAACACCTTGCTGGCCCTCCCATTGGGTGGAACTCCAATCTGTAATATGGGAATTCTTATTCTTTGCATATCATCTGGAAAAAAGTGTTAGCCCAGAAAAATGAATGAGTTAACAAAGTTGGGGATTTTAATTGTGACTTTTCTACATGCCTAAGTCATTTACATGGTTGTCCATAAATAAAATATGAATTGCATTCTAAAGCAGGTTTATTTATAGACACCAAACTACTACCTGTATTTTTGTAGAAGCAGAATAGTCTACACCTAGTAGTGTAAAAGGTCTGTAAAAAGCAGTGTAAAAGATTGACTGGAAAAGGTTGATCCTCATCCCAGTTCCCAGGAAGGGTAGTACCAAAGAATGTGCTAACCATCAGACAATCACACTCATCTCCCATGCTAGTAAGGCCGTGCTTAAAATCTTGCAATCTCGGCTTCAGCAAACCAAGAACTTCCAGATGTCCAAGCTGGGTTTAGAAAAGAAAGAAGAACTAGAGATCAAATTGCCAACCTTCATTGGATTATAGAGAAAGCAAGGGAATTTCAGAAAAATGTCTATCTCTGTTTCATTGGCTACGCTAAAGCCTTTGACTGTGTGGATCATGACAATTGTGAAAAGCTCTTAGAGAGATGGGAGTACTAGACCATCTTACCTGTCTCCTGAAAAACCTGTATACAGGTCAAGAAGCAACAGTTAGAACCCTGTATGGAACAACTGATTGGTTCAAGATAGAGAAAGGAGTAGGACAAGGCTGTCTGCAGTCACCCTGTTTGTTTAACCTATATGCTGAGCACATGATGAGAAATGCCAGGCTGGATGAGTCACAAGCCAGAATCAAGATACGCAGTAGAAATATCAGCAACCTCATATATGCCAGTGATACTACTCTAATGGCAGAAAGCAAAGAAAAACTAAAGAACCTCTTGATGAGGGTGAAGGAGAGTGAAAGAGCCAGCTTAAGACTAAAGACTAAAAAAGAACTAAGATCATGGCATCTGCTGCCATTCAGTTCAGTTCAGTTCAGTCGCTCAGTCGTGTCTGACTCTCTGCTACCCCATGAATCGCAGCACGCCAGGCCTCCCTGTCCATCACCAACTCCCGGAGTTTACTCAAACTCATGCCCATCGAGTCGGTGATGCCATCCAGCCATCTCATCCTCTGTCATCCCCTTCTCCTCTTGCCCCCAATCCCTCCCAGCATCAGGATCTTTTCCAATGAGTCAACTCTTCCCATGAGGTGGCCAAATTACTGGAGTTTCAGCTTCAGCATCAGTCCTTCAATGAACACCCAGGACTGATCTCCTTTAGGATGGACTGGTTGGATCTCCTTGCAGTCCAAGGGACTCTCGAGTCATCTCCAACACCACAGTTCAAAAGCATCAATTCTTCAAAAGCACTCAGCTTTCTTCACAGTCCAACTCTCACATCCATACATGACCACTAGAAAAACCATAACCTTGACCAGACAGACCTTTGGTGGCAAAGTAATGTCTCTGCTTTTTAACATGCTATTTAGGTTGGTCATAACTTCCCTTCCAAGGAGTAATCATCTTTTAATTTCATGGCTGCAGTCACCATCCGCAGTGATTCTGGAGCCCAAAAAAATAGTCTGACACTGTTCCCACTGTTTCCCCATTTATTTCCCATGAGGTGATGGGACCAGATGCCATGATCTTAGTTTTCTGAATGTTGAACTTTAAGCCAACTTTTTCACTCTCCTCTTTCACTTTCAGTTCAGTTCAGTTCAGTCGCTCAGTCGTGTCCGACTCTTTGCAACCCCATGAATTGCAGCATGCCAGGCCTCCTGTCCATCACAAACTCCCGGAGTTTACTCAAACTCATGCCCATCGAGTCGGTGATGCCATCCAGCCATCTCATCCTCTGTCATCCCGTTCTCCTCTTTCACTTTACTTCATGGCAGATAGAAGGAGGAATGGTGGAAGTAGTAACAGACTTCCTCTTCTTGGGCTCCAAAATCACTGTGAACGGTGACTGCAGCCATGAAATCAGAAGTTGATTGATTGCTTCTTGGCAGCAGAGTGATGACAGACTTAGACAGTGTGCTGAAAAGCAGAAACATTACTCTGCAGACAAATATCTGTGTAGTCAAGGCTATGGTTTTCCCAGTGGTCACATACGGTTGTGAGAGCTGGACTGTAAAGAAGGCAGAACGCCAAAAAATTGATGTCTTCAAACTGTGTTGCTTGAGAAGACTCCTGATAGTCTCTTGGACAGCAAGGGGATCAAACCTGTCAGTCTTACGGGAGATCAACCCTGAATATTCACTGGAAGGACTGATACTGATGCTGAGACTCCAATATTTTAGTCATCTGATGAGAACAGACTATTCTTTGGAAAAGTCCCTGATGCTGGGAAAGATTGAAGGCAGAAGAAGAGGGTGTCAGAGGATGAGATGGCTGGACGTCATCACTGATGCAATGAACATGAACTTGGGCAAACTCTAGGAAATGGTGAGGGACAGGGAGGCCTGGCTTGCTGCAGTCCATGGGGTCGCAAAGAGTCAGACAAAACTAGGTGACTGAACAATGACAACAAGTAGTATAATGCTCTGTTTACAACATGGAGAGTGTTGTTTCTGGAAAAATTTTATCAGAAGGCATTAAGTAAAAGTTTTGGTAAATAGTCATAAATAAAAGATACTCTTGAATGAAAAGTATATAATAATTTTCAAAACCTAATATGTATGCAAGTTGTGAGATCAATACATTAATAATGAAAGTCATAAAGATAAAAATTGTCCATTTTAAACTAATCCTCATTGTAAATAAACATTAAAGACTTAACCTGTCATCTGAATTAGTACCTAATGTGTAGACTTAAATTTGATCAGTAATCATGTAATATTGACTTCTGTCACCCAAAGAGTAGTAACATTGAGAGCACTACCCAGTCACCAGCTGGAAGGCCTGCAAGGCACTTTTCTGCCACCTGAAACTCTTATTTCCTCGAGTTCCTCATCCTTATCAGTCCACCTTGGCTCTTCACTAGAATTTGAGCTTGGCCACGCTGATCTATCTTTAAAGAAACATATCAATGAGGGGAAAACAAGAGAGACTTGTTTTTACAGAGGGACAACTTGGTCCTAGAGCTGCAAGATTAAAGGGAAGAACTTGTTAGCCCAAACTTTCATAGACTTAGTGACTTTCTGGTTTGACCTCCAACACATTCCTAAATTTCAGTTTTTCTCCAACCAGCTTTCAAAATAGATCTTCTGGTTCAAAATGATAATGATTACTTTTATGCAGTTTTCTTGTCCTTTCTTACCTACTCTTTTTTAAGAATATCATCTTTCTCATCCTTTCTCTGCTCTCGGTTGTCAAAATACTTTTGTTTTTCTATGAAAAACTGTATTTTTCTGAGAAATATTTTGGTTCAAAAGAAAGAGCGATAGTGTTAAAGGCTATAATTTAGTAGCTAACATAATATTGACAAAGAAAATGCTTTTCCTTAGTAGGAAAATATTATCCTGTGAAGGACAGTGAGACTATAAATTATGCCTTTTTTTCATGTAATATGTGTAGTCAGAATTATTTCCTGATGTTTTTTTAAACTATTTTTACAGTCCCAGTGGGTCTTTGTTATCTTGCTTGGAGCAGGTTAAAACATACCTGCTTACTGACGGAACATGCAAGTGTGGCTTGGAATGTCCTCTTATTCTTCCCAAGGTAACCATTTCGCAATAGATGTATCAGCAGTTTTTTATTTTTTAGGTGTTTCATATATTTGCTTTTCTCATTTGGCATTTCATTTTTATATTACTTCTCCAATCATATATGCATTTTAAAGTCTTAAGTTAGATACCTTTTGCATGCATTTTGGAATGCTTAAAAATTGTGGAAAATAGTTCAAGTCCAAGAGTCATTTTCAAAGGTGACAAACCTATATTCATATTAAATATTTCATCAAAATATCTTTTGCAAAAAAAAAAAAACCTCTTTTGCATCTTTTTCTTAGAGCTATACCCATGCTCACTCTTAATAGTGCAGTATTTTCCTTCCTTACTGCTCCGTCCGCAATGTTATTTTTAGCACCAGTGTTGATAAATCTGCCACAAATATTTTTAAAATCACAAAGCTGAACCTTTCTAGCCAAAAGTGAAACTGTTTTACTCTTTTGCAAGGTAAAAAGCAAAATCATTTTAAATGATTATAAATATATACTATAGACGCAGGTCATTATTCTCTGAATACCTGCAATAGTGCTAATCTTAGAACTAAAAGATCAATAGACAAATTTTTCTTTTTTATTTGTGTCACCTCTTTCAAGAAAAAGCACTTGAAACAGCTTATATGTATATATACAATAAATATTTTTTAAATAGAGTATTAGATTTTTTTAAATCAGTAAAAAGGTAATATTAATATACCAATAAAATAAAGCCAAAGGAAAAATTATTATGTAGCAGTGTCAGATTTTAGGGGTTTTAACTGTATTTTATATGTTTTTTGTACTATTTAACAGCAGGAAGAATCTAAAATTGGGAACATTATCAGATACTATACTTTTTTCCATGTATTTATCTTGGCTGTCATAGAATTAGAATAATTTTCATTATTTTCCCTGCCACTAAAAACTGTAAGTTCAGCAGAAGGTATTTATTACATTATATATAAAGTTGCTTGTCTTAAATTTAAAAACTTGAGAAAGTTTTCTTCAGATATATGGGTTAATCTATGCAGAACTTCTTTTTTTTAACAAGGGGATCTTTTTACTTAATATTTTTACAGACATATTTTAAACAAAGGCTGTGCTTTTTCCAGGTGTTTAATTTTGATCCTGGAGCTGCTGTGAAACAAAGAACTGCAGAAGATGTTAAAGCAGATGAAGATGTCACAAAGCTATGCATACATAAAAGAAAAATCATTGCAGTGGCCACACTTCATAAAAGCATGGAAACCCCACACCCTTCTCTGGTGCTCACCAGTCCCGGAGGAGGAACAAGTATGTAATATGGTGAAGGGTTTAGGAATTTTCCTCCCCCACTTCTCTCCTGGAGAAGGAGTCACTAGAAACCACTTTGCCAAGCATTTTCCGAGTCCACTTTTCAACCACACACAATGCATTTAAAATTATGTATGGTTTATCTTTTCAATACAATTGTTAATTAGTTCTGAAAAATTCCCATGAAGTTGCCTTCCAAAATTCCCTATCCAAGTCATTTAGTTAAATGATCAGAATAAACACAGAATAGCACCTACAAATACTATGAAGGTACATAGAGCTGAGCTAACAAAAGGGAAAGTGTCATTGGTTTTTAAGAAACAAATGTAGCCTTTTTCCTAGGGCTGAATTGGAATATATAGTATCAGTCCACAAATGCAGCTAGCAATGTTATCAAGAGCTAGCAGTATTATTCTTTGAGTCATTTAATAGCTGTATATTGAATACCTACTAACAGATATCACCTTGTCAGTAACTTTTTCCACCTCCATCCAACACATGCATGCACACATGCTTTCAGTTTTTAAAAATTTCAAAGCTGCAGAAAAATTACATAAACAATTCATTGAATACCCTAGACTTACCAATTAATATTTTGTTTCAGGAGCTACAGATATTGTGACAGTTCACCCATAAGTATTTCAACACAATGGATGTTCTCTTACATAAAACCACAGTCCAATTATCACATTCAGGAAATTTAAAACTGATATAATAGTATTATCTAATGTGCAATCTATATTCAGGTTTCTCCAGTTGTCCTAATAATATTCTTATTGCTTTTGTCAGCCCAATCTCTTTTTTTAATGTAGAATGCAAAGATGATGCAACTGTAATTAGTTGTTTTATTCCCTTAATCTACACTGATTCCCCAATCTTTTTAAATCTTTCATGACACTGATATTTGTTAAGAGTCTAGGCCAGTTTTATAGATATTTCTCAATTTGGATTTGCCTGATTGCTTCCTTATATTTTTATTCAAGTTAAACACAGTTTGGTAGGAATACGGCATAGGTGGTATTATGTCTTCATTAGGAAACACATAATGGCAGTTTATCCCATATTGATGACATCAAGTTTGATTGCTTGGTTAAAGTTCTGTCCATTACTGAGGTACATTTTCCCTTTATTATTCATATGTAATTTGTGGAATTATACTTTGAGACTGAGGAACTTTTCTTCATAAGGGCTAGAATATGAACTCTCCAAAATATTACAGTTAACACTTGAATAGTAATTCTGGATAAAATATGGCTAAACACCAAAGCATTTGTTTGTGAAAGATAAGTAACATTGCTCTGCATTGTTAAAAAAATAGGGATGAGGAGTGTAACCTGCAGTGATCAGAAAGCTTTATTGTAGAATTCAGATTTGAACCAGCCCTGGGAAATAGTAGGATTTAGACATATAAGGAAAATAAAATTCTTGTCCAGAACGACTATGGAATAGTTTAGGAATGAGGTGGAGACTAATGTGACACAAGTGGAAAAGTAAACCTGCATAAGTGAATTGGGGCCAAATTATTGATAGCTTTAGATCAAAGAGAAGCAGTTTTGATACCATACAGGTCACTCCTAGAACTCTGTGAAGAGGGCAGGGAGAGACAAATATGGCAATTATTAGCAGAGAGCTCCTCTTCAGTAACCCTATTACCTTTAAACTAACCTTTAAACTTTAACAGGAATGATCAGAAAAATTGCTCCACTAAGGTATGTAAGAAAAAAATATTTTAGTGAATTTTTCTTTTTCTTTTAACAAGCTACATTTTTTAAATTAAAAGGTATTGCAACAATTTAGAAACATTTAATAGTAATAAGCTATTTAAAATTTACTATTTTCCTGCCACCTTGATGTAAGTATGTTTTCATTTTTGCACCATACCTTGCACATGTGTTTGCATGTACTCATATCTACTGCTGCTCTCACTCCACATCATAGCAGTTTCAGCCCTGCCTACAGAGTCTGCCTTGTTGCCTTTTTAATGACTGAAGCTGAATCTTTTTTTCTTTTTTACTTTACAATATTGGATTGGTTTTGCCATACATTGACATGAATCTGCCATGGGTGTACATGTGTTCCCCATCCTGAATCCCCCTCCCACCTCCCTCCCCATCCCATCCCTCTTGGTCATCCTAGTGCACCAGCCCCAAGCGCCCTGTATCATGCATCGAACCTGGACTGGCAATTCGTTTCACATATGATAATTTACATGTTTCAGTGCCATTCTCCCATATCATCCCACCCTTGCTCTCTTCCACAGAGTCTAAAAGACTGTTCAATACATCTGTGTCTCTTTTGCTGTCTTGCATATAGGGTTATCGTTACTGTCTTTCTAAATTCTATATATATGTGTTAGTATACTGTAATGGTCTTTATCTTTCTGGCTTACTTCACTCTGTATAATAGGCTCCAGTTTCATCCACCTCATTAGAACCGATTCAAATGTATTCTTTTTAATAGCTGAGTAATATTCCATTGTGTATATGTACCACAGCTTCCTCATCCATTCATCTGCTGATGGGCATCTAGGTTGCTTCCATGTTCTGGCTATTATAAACAGTGCCTCGATGAACATTGGGGTACACGTGTCTCTTTCAATTCTGATTTCCTCAGTGTGTATGCCCAGGAGTGGGATTGCTGGGTCATATGGTAGTTCTATTTCCAGTTTTTTTGAGGAATCTCCACACTGTTCTCCATAGTAGCTGTACTAGTTTGCATTCCCACCAACAGTGTAAGAGGGTTCCCTTTTCTCCACACCCTCTCCAGCATTTCTTGCTTGTAAACTTTTGGATAGCAGCCATTCTGACGGACGTGAAGTGGTACCTCATCGTGGTTTTGATTTGCATTTCTCTGATAATGAGTGATGTTGAGCATCTTTTCATGTGTTTGTCAGCCATCTGTATGTCATCTTCGGAGAAATGTCTGTTTAGTTGTTTGGCCCACTTTTTGATTGGGTCTTTTATTTTTCTGTAATTGAGCTTCAGGAGTTGCTTGTATGTTTTTGAGATTAATTCTTTGTCCATTGCTTCATTTGCTATTATTTTCTCCCGTTCTGAAGGCTGTCTTTTCACCTTAGAAGCAGAATCTTGATCTAGGTCCCTTGTCATATTCTATACATTCTAGTTTCATTAATGAGGTTAAAGATAAACATTTAATTAAATTAGTATAGGTATATAAGGTATATCTCCATCTCCTTTTAAAACTATATACTTGATTGGATTAATTTCTACTCTTTTACCAGCTTGAGACATAGCATTTATTTCAATTTTTTAATTTTAAACTATATTAAATGGTCAGGATTTAAATAATTAAGGATTAAGGCTCAGTAGTTTTCACCTCTCTTTGTTTTACGTGCATAAACATGTAACTTATCTCTTTCAAAAAGTCTGTTTGATATACAGGAAAGCACTTGTTGGATGCCCAGCATTTATATTTCCCAACTCTTGTAACACTTTATTTCCCTACTGCCACATAACAGCAGCATGACTTTTATTTGTTTAGTATTCCTGTTATTTTTAAAATTATAACTATTTTTCCCCAGTGGGGAAGAAATCCTTTCTAAACATCATCTCCTTTCTAAATTCTGTTGAATATAAAAATGCCAGTGTCTATATTTCTTATCATTGAACTATAGATGGCTATATAAATAAACAAGAAAAGACACAATTTGGTGGTTTTATTACCAAAGAGGACACAGTCAATCCTGTAATGATGTTAGTGATGTTAATAGAGACAACTCTGTTCTCACTGAATGCCATGCTTAGTGCCCCAAACATTTTCATGTGTTATTTTCTTGATTATGAACTTTAAAACTTTCTTTGACAAAAAAATGATTTCAGTTGAATTTATCTACTGTCATTCTCTTATATGATTGTTTCTCTTAATTTTCATGTATTGTCCAGAAATCATTCTTTCAAAGAATCTCTACCATCCCAGAAACAAAAAGCCCACACCTCCCAAGAAAAAATATATATGTTCACTGCATTCTTTTACTTCTTAATTGTAACCTATCAACACTTCTGTTTATCCAGGTTGAAAACCACTGTCTCAGAAATTGTTACGTTATGATTCAACCTGTATAGTACCCAGCAGGTAGAAGTATATTTATCTTGAAGTGAAGTGAAGTCGCTCAGTCGTGTCCGACTCTTTGCGACCCCATGGACTGTAGCCTACCACACTCCTGGGATTTTCCATGAGATTTTCCAGGCAAGAGTACTGGAGTGGGTTGCCATTTACTTCTCCAGGGGATCTTCCCACCCAGGGATCGAACCTGGGTCTCCCTCATTGTAGGCAGATGCTTTACCATCTGAGCCACCAGGGAAGTCCCCCAATATTTGTCTTAAATGTGTAATTATCCATTCAAGTAAATATACCTCCAATTGCAAATGAATCCGAGTATACTTGCTGATATGCTGTAGGTCTCAGACTTGGGATGGTCAGTATATAATGTGAACAGTACCACTCCCTTGTCCTGTGCCTCTAATAGAATCATTGGCATTTTCTCATGCAGCCCAGCTAGAGCTCGGCATCCTTTTCATCACAGTTCTGTAAGCAGCCACCACCAGTTGATGAGAATTGGCATATGAAGTTAATTTTATTTGCCACCCCTGTTTTAGAAGTCACAACTTCATAAAATAGTTAAACATCTTTAGGGACTAAAAAAACTTAAAACTCGAATTCTGACATGATTGAATGAAAATTCTGTATGATGAACCAGCTTGCTTTTGTTGCCTGTATTCTGTCTGATCTCCGTAAGAATTGAAAAGACTCCAAAAAACCAGCAAGGGAGCAATGCACTCTAAAAAGAGAATACTCAATTGGAACCCAATACTGAAGATGGTCACACTCTGACTAAATTTTGCATAAGAATTCTATCCTAAGGAAAGAATTGCAATCTTTTACCAGAGTTGCTTGATGAAGGCTGTTTTACAACAATGACTGATTAAGGGTAAAGTAATTGAAGTGTTGCAGTATTACCTACTTGATGTGAAGTTAGCATGTTTGTTTTAACTCCACTGTATTTATTTACTGTTGTTACCACTCCCTTTATAAAAGATTCAGAGTCCTGTGTACTTAATTCACAAAAATTAAGACTCTTTTACTGTCACAGTGAAAATGTTGAGATAAGAAAGAGTTTTTGTAGCTGTCTTGTGGAGGTTTATAGAAACATTTATAAGGTAACAAATTTTCTGGTGAAAAGGCAGTTCATTTAAATCATCCAAGAGAATAGTATGCCAGACAGATTACAACTTTCTCTTGTAACTGTATTCTTTAAAAAATTCAAATCCAAATGATAATAACATTATCATTTCCATCTGGGCTGTCAATCTTGATTTTACATATGATAAACATTATTAGAATGACTAATGTCTGTATGTACAGATTCAGAGCCCCATCCTTTCTCAACAGATAGGAGGTAAACAAGCATAATGAGCAGTTATTGAGAACCTTTGGTCAACTAAGGGAGAATACTGTGCATTTTTTTCAGTCAAAATTTATTGTAGAATACAAACCTTTTTTTTTAAATTGCAGAGTCACTGTTTCTATTTGCAAATTTCTTTTTCCAGATGCGCTTCCTTCCTCATTTTCTCCTTTCCTTCCCTTCCTCCACTCTTACACAAAAGTGTTGAGACTACTAACAGATTTTTTTTCTCTCTCTCTCTCTTTCACATCAGATGCAACTCCAATAGTACCTTCACGGGCAGCAACTCCAAGATCTGTAAGAAATAAGTCACATGAAGGAATTACAAATTCTGTAATGCCTGAATGTAAGAATCCTTTCAAGTTAATGATTGGATCATCAAACACCATGGGAAGGCTATATGTACAAGAACTGCCTGGAAGCCAGCAACAAGAACTCCACCCTGTCTACCCCCGGCAGAGATTGGGCAGCAATGAGCATGGACAGAAGTCTCCATTCCGTGGCAGCCATGGAGGCCTGCCCAGCCCCGCATCGTCAGGTTCCCAGATATATGGAGACGGCTCGATCTCGCCAAGGACTGACCCACTTGGAAGCCCTGATGTCTTCACAAGAAATAACCCTGGTTTTCACGGAGCTCCCAATTCTAGTCCTATTCACCTGAATAGGACTCCTCTTTCTCCACCTTCAGTAATGCTACATGGTTCTCCTGTACAGTCATCCTGTGCAATGGCTGGAAGGACTAATATACCTCTTTCCCCAACCTTGACTACAAAGAGTCCAGTAATGAAAAAACCAATGTGTAATTTTTCAACTAATATGGAAATACCACGAGCAATGTTCCACCACAAACCGCCCCAAGGCCCACCTCCCCCTCCTCCACCTTCTTGTGCTCTTCAGAAAAAGCCATTAACATCTGAGAAAGATCCACTTGGCATTCTTGACCCTATTCCTAGTAAACCAGTGAATCAGAACCCTGTTATCATTAATCCAACTAGTTTCCATTCAAATGTCCACTCTCAGGTACCTGTGATGAATGTAAGCATGCCTCCTGCTGTTGTTCCTTTGCCAAGTAATCTCCCTTTGCCAACCGTAAAACCTGGTCATATGAATCATGGGAGTCATGTACAAAGAGTTCAGCATTCAGCTTCAACCTCCCTGTCCCCTTCTCCAGTGACATCCCCAGTGCACATGATGGGGACTGGAATTGGAAGGATTGAGGCATCGCCCCAAAGATCACGCTCATCTTCCACATCATCAGAACACGGAAATTTCATGATGCCACCTCTAGGACCCCAGGCCAATTGCAGTGGTATTAAGGTTCCGCCCAGGTCACCAAGGTCAACAATAGGGTCCCCAAGGCCATCAATGCCATCAAGCCCTTCTACCAAGTCCGATGGACATCATCAGTTCAAGGATATCCCTAACCCATTAATTGCTGGAATGAGTAATGTACTAAATCCCCCAAGCAGTGCAGCTTTTCCTACTGCATCTGCCGGAAGTGGTTCTGTAAAGAGTCAGCCTGGTTTGCTGGGAATGCCTTTAAATCAGATCTTGAACCAGCACAATGCTGCCTCCTTTCCAGCAAGTAGTTTACTCTCAGCAGCAGCCAAAGCACAGCTAGCAAATCAAAACAAACTTGCTGGTAACAACAGTAGCAGCAGTAGCAATTCTGGAGCTGTTGCTGGCAGTGGCAACACTGAAGGACATAGCACTTTAAACACCATGTTCCCTCCTACTGCCAACATGCTTCTCCCGTCAGGTGAAGGGCAAAGTGGTCGAGCAGCACTAAGAGATAAGCTGATGTCTCAGCAAAAAGACTCATTGCGGAAAAGAAAACAGCCACCTACCACAGTGTTGAGTTTGCTCAGACAGTCTCAAATGGATAGTTCTGCAGTTCCTAAACCTGGACCCGACTTGCTAAGGAAGCAGGGTCAGGGGTCGTTTCCCATCAGTTCAATGTCTCAGTTACTACAGTCTATGAGTTGTCAAAGCTCTCACTTGAGTAGCAATAGTACTCCGGGTTGTGGGGGCTCAAATACTGCTTTGCCTTGCTCTGCTAACCAGCTGCATTTCACAGATCCCAGTATGAACTCCAGTGCTCTTCAGAATTCACTGACGCAGAGCATACCTTTAAGAGGGGAAGCCGTGCACTGCCACAATGCAAACACTAACTTTGTTCACAGTAACAGCCCAGTCCCAAACCACCACCTTACAGGCTTAATCAATCAGATTCAGGCTAGCGGGAGCTGTGGGATGCTCAGTCAGTCGGGCATGGCTTTAGGAAACTCATTACATCCCAATCCACCTCAGTCAAGAATTTCAACGTCCTCCACTCCAGTGATACCAAACAGCATTGTTAGCAGCTATAATCAAACAAGTTCTGAAGCAGGTATGGTTTTATTAGAAAAAAGTACCCCAAGGTACTAAACTTTTATACGTTTTTTTAAAATTTGTACCAAAATATTTATTATGATAAGAAATGATCCTTTCCCCGATGTGAAATTCTCACCATTTCTTTAGTATTTATAATTTTATTTACAGAATGCTAGGGATTTGTCTCTTAGAAAAAAAAATAACCACCAAGAGGATTCCGTGTGTTTCCGTTATTCGTTGTCAATCTGTCGTTTTGAATTTCGTTCGGCTTTCAGTTGGTTCAATAACCAATGGACTCTAAACTACGAAAGAAGCCATAGAAGGCAGGATTTCCTGGTTCATGAGACATGTACTTGGTCAATGCCAATATAAAAGCCGTTTCCCCTAGTTTGTGTTTGTCTTCAGGTAAATGAAGCTCACCTTGGAAAATCCAAAAAAGGGGCAAAAATAAATGGATATTTTTTGTTCTTGCTGCTGACCAGAAATAGGTGAATGAATAGGAAGAGTTAACTAGAAGTTGTATGAAGTAGAAAGCTGTCTTCTAATGTGTTTTCTTATCCTAGTTTGCTATCCTTTATTACTATTTGTTTGAAAAAATTCAAAAATGGATATTGGCTACTTCCTTTTTTAAAAAGGTAATAATTTAAGTTTTCTAATAAAAAAGGCTTGAAAACCTGATTTCCAGAATTTTTGATCTTGAAATTATTTTGCAGTTTTCTTGTAGAACTAAACCATTATTTTTACCATTGACATTAGGGTTGTATCTCGTTATCTGCTATTAATGGAGACAGATTTATTTGAAAGTAGACACATTAGAAAGAACTGTATTTTGTTCAGTAGAGTCCTCAGAAATTGTTATTAAAAAAAAAAAACTGTAAAGAAGCACTACAGAGATAAATTCATGGAGACGTCTGAAAATTTGACCATAAGAATATTAGAAATACCCAGAATCCAACAATAATGATTTGAGAGATTGGTGGGAAATGACAAGGTGGAAATAAAAAATGAATATAGAGATAGTGTTACTCAGATATGAAAACAGTGGGCTTTTAAAACCAGATTGCTACTGGAAGTTAGAAAACTGCTGAGGCTTTTAATAGTAAGCTATTGTGTGGTTATATATAGACTGCGTTATACCACCGTGCTAGAAAGGCATTATGACCTACATGTCTTTGTTGTTGATAGTAAAATCAAGTGTTTTCCTTCCTGGTGTCACTACTTATACCTCCCATTCTCCACAACTTCTGTTATGTGTTATGTTTGATGTCAGTATTTAATGAGGAACTGTTCATTGACCTCTTGTGTTAAAAAGAATATAAGGTGAAAAAGATAATTGAAATGATTAGTGCCTTCTTGATAGTCTAAGAAATCTCATGAAGCTATTTTTTATGTGTTTAACAGGATACTTATTCCAAAGGGGCTTCCAGCTTCTCACTGACTCCTATTTCTTTTTAGATAATCTCAAATAAATGAAAATTTAATCTTATGCCTTTAGCAGATTAAAGTTACATAAAGTCAGTAGCTATTTAAAAATACACTATATTTATTAAGCATACCTTCAATCATTTGGATGAGACATTGTTTGTCTCATTGTATTACATTTTTAAATTTTGGTAGCCCTTACCTCAACTTACTTTGTTTCAGGTCTACTCTAAGTTCACATTGCAAAGTGTACGTATTTTATTAATGATGTATTTTAATTTATCTATAATGGAAAAGACCGACATTTATTTATGTTCTTGTTTCTTCTGATTGTCAAGTTTAGACTTATTTTATATAGTCTTAGATGTGTATTTTCTTGTTCCATGCCTCTCTGTAAAACATCAGATCTGGATTGCCAGTGCTGGGATTGTTGAAACACATATGTTGAAAATTTATTAATATAAGGAAAGTGTTAGCATATAAATAGCTAAAAGGGATGAGAATAAATGTCTAATAATGATATGGATGTGACCAATGATGTGTAAGAGAAAACATATGCTTGATAAAAGTCTAGGTCAATTAGAATTTTTTAAAATATTAAACTTAATAAAATTAAATGCTAATTAATGTACATAGATCTGATGTGCAGCTGGTAATAAAAATGGGTAGATTTACTAATGTAGCTCTTTTGATGAGCTGATTTATTGAAGAGGTCTCTAATATCATTGTTTTTAGATACACAGTGAACTGTGTCAGCTGAATGTACTGTCATGATAATTGCTTAGTATCCATCAAATAAACACCAGAGATGGGCATTTACAGTGAGACAGCTGATGACAAACATAAACTCTCCCTTCAAGTTTTGCTAAGTATTCCTAGCATACTAGGAAGACATTAGAAGAAAACACATTTTATTCTTAAAATGTTGCTTTAATTATCCTGGCGTACCTATGATGTACTAGGTGACTTACCTGTACTATTTCTAACTTGTGCAGTCTTCCAAAGTATAAGGTGTTCTTGTGCTCATTTTACAGATGGGTAAATTGAGCCTCAGAGAACTTGAGTATCCAAAGTCATACATAATTGAATGAGGATTTGAATTCAGGTTCATCTGATCCTAAAATCCATTTTCCTCCCAGCTGCATAAGTTCTTCATTGAAAGCATCTAGTTGTCAAAAATACTGTTTTCCCTTTCAAATCTTTAAAAATATCCAAAAGACTGTGAATTGAAGCACGTCAACGCATGCTAAAAAACCATGTTTGTGAACTTCTGATGCACTTTTAGACCAAAGTCACTTATTTTGCTTTCTCCTTCTGGACTATGATATCCTAGTATACAATGACTAGGATGTTTGTGTCAGTGCAGATAAAATGTCCGCAATATCAAAAGAGCTAGCCCTCATTTGTGAATTGTATTTGGTAACCTTTGTGTAAATGATTTTCTATTGCCTCACTCAGATAAGAATGGGTTTCCTAGTGGGTGATGTGTCAGTAGGCCTTTGTAGGAGACAGCTGGGCCCATGCCAGCCCTGTCACTCCAGTTTTGATAGCACAGTGAGGGTGAGAGACACCTACAGGCGACATGGCCCAAGTCTTCCTTGTGGTAGTGGAGCCTGAACAGAACTCAGATACCTCCTGCTCACCCCAGTGCCTTTTTTCCACTCTCCTAAGCAGCAGCTCAAAAATGTTACATTAAGACTACATTGAAGACCAGAAATCACTCTGAAAACATTTAACTTGATAGGCTATTTATTTTCAAGAACTTCTTTTATAGAGAGTTTTTTTATTATAAACAACCCAAATATTCATGTTCTAGGCCTATATGTGAATACCAGTCCATATTTAAAATGTATTATAACTCATATATGAGAATTGAAGGCAAAGATGGTAAAGAAAAAAAATCAGATAAAAGATACGAAATGCTTAGGAAACACTTCTAAAATTTAGAAGATATCAGGTTTTATTAATTCTATTTGGTGTTTTGAAATTGCCTTTCCACTGAAGCTCTCTGAACACTTTGCATTGCAAAGTTTACAGGTTTCTATTAACATTTTGGCTATGAAATTACAAGTGAAGCTTAATATTTCCATGTAACAGATTTAGAAAATGACCAGTAGGATACTTGGTAACATTTCCTCAAGTTGTAAAAAAAAAAGTTCTGGTGGATCTGGCCACCAAACCCAATCAGTTCCTCAGTCTCAGTCCAAACATTCAAACTGCTGAATGCAGGTATGTTATGAAATCCATCAGTCATATATATATTTAAAGCAACTTTCAGTTTATGAAGTTAGATGAATTTCAACATTTAAGTAGTTCCAGCATGTGTCCTGTTGTTTGGTTTAGGGAAGAATTCAAAATCAAGTGCCCTGACAGGCAGATTTCATCAGGGCCATGCCTCCTCAGGCCTCTGACCACTGCCCACCTGTTTGCCACAGAACAAAAACATACATGCCAGTAACTGGGGCCTTTGCAGAGGACCCAGCCTTTCATGGCCCTGTGGGTTTTCACAATTTTCAAAGAAGCAAAAAGATTTAGACTATTCTGCTAACCAACTTAATAACTGAAGCTTGCCTTCCTCCAAATGATAAAGTCATTAAATACAACTTTTTCACTTTAAAATGCCTTTTATAGTCTCATTTTTTGGTAATAAACATTTAATCAGCTCTTCTAACCACATGAAAATAAAGTCCTCTGAAGGGGCAGAGTATGAGTTTGTACCAAAAGAGTGAATAATTCAATCATTTCTTTGCCTTAACGCTTAAAGATACACATCGACTAACAAGAATATAAATAAACCTGTGAATAAATATATGCTCATGAATATTTATATATATATTTTTTTAACTCTGGAAAAGAAAGTGTTTTTTCAGCACAAAATACATTTGATTGAAACTCAGTGCAGCCTCTGAACTGGTAGGTATAAGAAACTTAGAGACCACAAAAGGATACTTCAGATATAAACTTGGCTTTTTGTTCTTTTATTCTCTGTATTTATTTATCCTTAGAACATCCCAGTGAAGAAAGGGAAATTGTCATTCCCTTCATTTGAGGTTATAGTTGCAAAAAGGTTATGGGATAAAAATACTCCAGGATGGATTATTGTACATGTTAGCTCTCTCAGGATATGGGACGTTTGAAGGGAAGTAAGCCTCTTGTCTAATGTAGACTTATATAGAGTGAAAAAAGGCAAAGATTCCTTTAAGGCTGTGACTGAATTAACAATAGTTGCTATTGAAAGTATTTCCAGCCAAGTTTTTAAATGCCTAGATTCCTCATCTGATTGATTCACAGACTTCTAGGTTGAAAGTTGCCCTTTGCTCTTGTTTTTTTAACCAAATACCAAAACTATATTAAATTCTTGATTATGTGATAAAAATCTATGTCTATTCTTTTAGATAAATTTTTGCAAAATGAGCCATTTCTTCTTTGCTGTAAGATATTTTTACAACAGACAATGTCTTGCTGTTTAAGAAGGTTTCCTAATATCAGGGTTACACCACTTGCTTTGTTTACATAATCCAGGTTTAATGTTTCCTCGTGTGCCAAAAAGGGAATTAAAATATGTTTGAATTTAGACATCGAGTCTATGTAATC